CTGACTTTTTCAAACATAACCATGGCCGGATTCTCCAAATTCCAGGCATTTTCTGCCAACGGAGTGACACACATCATTCGGAGCTGAGTCACCCAGATGCCAGTGGCTTGAGCCCTGGGCCGAGGTGTGGACCCAGCCGTGGGAAACTCCTGCTGCCTGAGAGAAAGCCCTATAACAGTTCAAAGGAAGGCCTGCCAGCAGCCGCTGGCTCTCCACCGCCAGCGCCCTTGTTTCCTTTGGCCGAGGGTGAGAAACGCCAAGCCCGCAAACCTTCCACTTGAGCAAGCCATTTGCCCCTCTCTCCTCTGGGTCTGGGAACACATCCCACCCAGAAGGGATGTGGGCACCGAAAGCGGCCCCTCCTGGATGGTTGCCTGCCTGTCTGCCCCTAGGGCACCCAGTGATCGGGAGATGGAGCTTCCTCTAATGGGGTGCCCTCTGGCAGAGATGCCAAGAGAACGGCACCCTCTAGTGGGCGGTGGGAGCCCCAACAGCGCTGCGAGCCCAGCCCAAGACGGGGATGTGGTTAAACCGAGAGAGGGAAAGGCGCCCTCAATCAGCCCTCCCAACCTCCTCTCACGCAGCAGGCAAAACCTTGGCTGGGCAAGGAGAATCGCTGAAGAGCAGCTCTTTGCAGGGCTGGGTTTTCAGCGGGGGGAGCCAACTTCACTTCTCAGCCTTCACTAGGCTGATGGAGAACATGATCTCTGATCTGTCAGAGTGGGCAGCTATAACACAGTTGAACAGACGATGACAACGCTTTTCAAAATGCTCGTGTCTTTGTTATTCCTCTCACTGTTGTTCTCTGCTTTGGGAATTTGCCAAAGCAACTTGCAACTGCTTGCAAGGCGCGGCGCGCACGAGATTGGGTTCTCGAGGGCCCCTCTGCCGCAAACCCCAGACTCTCACAGTCAGGGCTCCACACATTTGGGCTGGCCTCAACGCCCAAAGAAAAGAATTGCAGGCCATCTTCAAAAGATGGGGCTTTGCTTCGGATCTCATCCTTTGGCTCTGGGATTCGGTATGCAGCCAGACATCGCCCAACCCCTTGTGGGAAGGGAGAGCTGAGGGGCGACGCTCTCCAGGCACTGGAGTGAGGGAGTGATGCTCTGCCATCCATGCTCCAGCGTGTAGGGAGAATTATTTAGGAGGTGCCGAAATGCAACAAATCGGAGTAGGACCCTCATTCGACTCAATCTTCTCCCAGGGATCCATATCAGACCACTCCTATTTTAAAGCGCTCTGCAGAGACATTTTCTGGGCGTTTCGAGTTTGATTTGGAAAAGAAAGAGAAACAGAAAAAGGAGGAACCCCAGCCAGACCAAGTGCAACAGCTCCCAGCCTTCAAGCAGGAAGACGTGCTGCAGAAGCAGGTGAAGCTTGGCCAGACATGCGCTGAATTTGCAAAAGCTCTAAAGGAGAAGATGGCATTGCCCAGGGGCGAGTCTGTGGCCAGAGGCTGCTGAACTGCGGCTGGCTAGGCAGTTTGACACCAGGGGAAAAAATTGGGTTAGTGGCACATTTTCCTACCATAGCTGACTCCACAGCTCTAGCAAGCTTGCGTCTGGAAGGGCCTAGCGAGGGTGACTTAGGACCCTGGGAAAGAGAGATTTTGCTGTCCCAATGCTCTGAAAGAGGCCTGGAATTCCCTAGGCTTTGCCTTGAGGCCTCAAGCTTTCCATCTCTAAAATGGGGATATACGACTAAGCAGCTTTCCAGGGATTAGTCTGCCAGGCATTCCTGAGGCTAACCCCTCGACTCTGCTACAAAGGCCATGGGGTCAACCCAGAAGGAGCCTGAGCACAGGACGCTGAGGCCCCGCTGGGGACGAGGGCTCTTAAAACCAGCGTGGCGGAAGGGGGAGAAAGGGAAGCAGCTGCTTCGCGCAAAAACAGCTCTCGCAGAAAAATGCAAGGGCATCACCCGGTCACTTCCACACTGCACGCAATGATGGGCCAGGCGGTTTAGCACAGAGGAGGGTCATGCTCAGGCCTCGGTTTTACCCATACATCTACGTCTTCGAGACGGCACCACGGAGCAGCAGAGGAAGCTAAAGGCTGGGCAGAGAGGAGAGAGAGAGAGGAAGCAATACAGTCGTTCAGGAAGGGAAGACCAAAGGAAAGGCAGCTTTTCAGCAGACAGTTCTGATAAGGAAGGTTTGACGCTCCGTTAGGGAGGGGGGGAAAGGCTGTCGACAAGAAAACGATTGTAAAAGTTGAGCATCCCCGTGGCTTTCCATACAAGTAGGAGCACCAGCCACTCTGCCCCCCTTCCCCCTTTAGCACCCTTCCCGATCCCCTCAGCAGGTAGGCAAGGGGCAAGCACTATGCCAGAGTTGCCCCAAAAAACACAA